CTGTATCTTGTTCCTGTACGGAGTTTTTGGGAAACAACCTTTGGTGACCTTTGATGACGTCACATGACCTTACAGCTGCCCAACAGCAAAACAGACCTCAAGGTTGTGACCTAGTGAAAGTTGATCGTATATGAAGTCATGTATGGTATATGGGGCCATTCCGACCCGTTTTAATGGTAAAAACAAGGAGTTGGTTTTTCCCCCATTGACTTATAATGGGGAGGTCGAGAAATTGACCTGACCTTAGGTCACCGATATCAAAATTCCGAGTGATACAAATTGTAGCTACTAATGACTTAATAACATCCTGCGACTTTCAAAGGCCTCGGACATCTACTGTAGCTCTGGCACAGTGACAAAGTTGCAAAAAAGTGACTTGAGGTTGGGTCATTTAAAGTGACCTGGTGACCTGACCTTAAAAGTTTGGAGGTTCAACCTTGCACACCATGTGTAAAATTGATGAGAGAATAGTCGTACCAAATTTCGCGGTGCCACGCGCCGCGGTTTTCCCGCTATTCGCGAAAAACCTCAGGGGGGGGGGGCGGATATCCGCCCCCCGTCGGTGCGTGTGTTACAAAAAAAAACTTTAGGGAAGCCCTGACAAACCCAAGGGCCAAAGCTATATAAACAGACTACGTAAATATGTAAGAATCAAGTCATACAAACGGAGATAGTCGGTTACGGTTACAAAGATAGATCCCCTTCGACCGATGCATCCCTCTTCAGCGGCTGGTGCAGCCCCTATGCTCTATTGCCATCATTATGAAAAGTGGCGGACCGGGAGAAGCTCCGTTATCCCTCGCGGGCCCGGGGGGGCGTTTTTCGCCCCCCCCTGGCGAATATTTGCGATAACTCCCGAACGCTTAGGGATAGGAAGGCGAAACTTTCAGTACCTTTTCTCCCATCAATTTGACATCTTCTGAAGTAAAAAATTTGGACCTAGCCCCCTTGATGACGTCACAAGGTCCATTTTCCTAGACCCCTGTACGGCAAAAATCGGCGTCACAGACGCAAACTTCAAATAGCTGCTAAAAATAGAGTTTTAGAGATAAAGACAAATTACGAGCACGGCTGTGTAGCGTTTGACCTAGATAAAAATAGAAAAATAGTTTTGGTGACCTGAGGTCAGAGGTCAGGTCAACGACCCCGAAATGTGGTTTTAGTTTTTCGCAAATAACTTCGACAAAAATGGTCCTAGAGCTTCGGCAGTGGTACCATCGCATTCGCCTTGTCAAGCCGCGTCGAATGATATATATTTTGTTCGGAAAAGGTCAAGTTTCATGTTGACCTCATGTGACCTCGAATGACCTCTGGTTGACCTTGACACATGAAAGGTCGTTTATGATGGATTTGTACCCGCTGATCACGAATCTGGCATCTATTTTCCTCTAAGCCTTCATTTAGAGCTTCCGGATGACAAAATTGTCTTATTTATTATTACTAACTTGAATCAGTGAAATAGCCTCTAGTACTCTTCTGTGACCTTGACCTTTGAGCAGCCTTGTATCGTAAGATGAACCACAAATAGGGAACTGATAAGCCTCAAAACATTTCAAAACATCTTGGAAGTTAGCACGCAAGATGCGCGAAAAAGTGCCAAGTTTGAGGTCAATTTTGAGCGTGACTTTGACCTTGACCTTTAATTTGGAGCACATTTTCAGAATCCTCAGATTCTCTTCTTTCGTTTGACACCCAATTTTGCCGGTTTGATGCAGCCTGCCGTCCTCTAGAAGGCTTACTTTGAGATCACTACACATGTGCCGGTTTTGGCCTTTGACCTTGACCTCTGACCTTGAAAATTGACCTGAGGTCAAAAATTTTAGGTGCATTAGAATCGTCTCGTAAGGACCTTTCGTTTGGTATCGCTTGTGTTTCCGTAGCTCCCTTATTTACGGAGTTAGACAGGGGGGGGGGGGCGAAAAACGCCCCCCCCCCCGGGCTGCGGTGGTTGGGATTACCCCCCGGGCCCGGCCGGGTTAAGGGACACATGAAGCCGGGAGGGACGCGCTCTGAATGCATGTAGCCATGTGTGGGCGAGCGTGAAACAAGCAGCAAAGCTCACGTGGCACGGCTGGCAGTCTGCCAAAGCCCAGCACGTGCACTGGCTAATGGTAATGGCGACTCTCGCTGATATTATACCTGCAGGGATGTTCATATACGGTAGAAAGCGTGGCCCGAATTCATAATGGGTGTATGCTGATGTTATGCCCTCTGATTTCATCGACGCTGCATGAACATAAAATGACGTCACGAATGTTTCGATGTGTGGGTTTACCGGAGAGAGGCATCTAAAGCAGGACTCGTGCAGGCTGTAACTGTTGCGTGAGCCGGACTTTCGAGCTCTTCCCGGTGAGATTGAAGTGCCAAAGATGGAGGTTCTTTCCGCTTCGACCTCTATGGTAAACGCTGAATATTGGTTAGCCGTGAGGCGGACAGAGACCCGGCTTGAAGCATCAATGAAAGCATGTCAGTTCATGAGATGAGATCATTGCCCATTTCTATAGTGTCGTGTTAAAAAGAGAAGAAGATTATTTGAATGTTAACCCGCGCCCTGGTGGGGTCTGTTTATAACGCGACCTGGTGGGGGGGGGGGCTATTTTTTGCCCCCCCCCCTCGTATCTCCGAAACTACTGGACGGATCCGAAAAATTCAAACGGCATTCGAAAGGCCTGTCAAATTTGTCGAGGGAAACCAAATTTTATTGACCTCGGGGTCACCGATGACGTCACAGGTCAGGTCAAAGATGAAATGTTTCACCGTTCACGGGTCTTCTAGGGAATGCGCTATAACACCGAGGAAAACGCATTTTGTCGGGAATCTGCGATAGGGCGTCAGTTGCCTAGTAGATATGTTGCTGTTAGAGGTCACTGGTCATACCAGGTCAGGTCACAGGTCAGGTCACCAAAGGTCACCAAGGGTCACCACATGAACCCAACTTTACTAAGGTTATGCGATGCATGTTTTATGGCCAGTTTTTCATTTCCAACTCAATGGTGTTGGTTATAAGACCATCAGGTACGGTTTAGGTCACTTTCTGGTGAAGGTCAGGTCAAGGTCAGGTCAAAAAAGGTCAAATTTCAAAGTTGATATTTTTGCATAAAATGGGTATTGATTCGATGCAGCTCGTCACGGGGAGTCTAATGGTGGTCTTTGTTTTGCGCTACGAGATCTAGAATTGCTGAAAATTGAGTTTGAAAATTTGACGTCATCAATTTTGAACAGTTTTTTTCGCTATAACTTGGCCAAAAAAAGAGGTATCGATCTCAAATTTGGTATGTAGATAGAAGGCGGTAAGGACTATCACATATATTCCGGTTTTTTTCGAAATTCCAAAAACTTTTTGGATTTTTTGGCTATTATATTCAAAAAATCTATTTTTTGATTTTTTGGGGTCAAAATCCAAAAATTTCAAAAATCCGAGATAGCAGTTTTGTAGCCCTGTCCATTCTACAGCTTTTATGTCTGTATCATTTTTCTGTATTTGCAAAGTTATAGGCCTGACAGCTCTTCCCGCGAAACCCTTTTTTGGGTCGAAAACGGCAGAACATGACGTCACTCTGACGTCATTTCCGGCCAACCTATCATAGCCTTTGGAAAATTTTTTGGTCACAATGTGTAAAAATGATGTCCGGGAGGGTACTGAAAGTTTGGTGACGATCGGCGCAGTGGTTCTGGAGATATATCGAAAAGTCTGGAGGGGGGGGGGCAAAAAATAGCCCCCCCCCCCCACCAGGTCGCGGGTTAAGTAAAACAGCATCCTAAAGACGCCTATCAGCTTGATACGCACTACATAGTGGCCAAATATGGAATGAGCCAATTCACTGTTGCTACCATGGACGACGATTTAGGCATGTGGATACGAATCTGTGCATTTTTTTACGCATATTCTTCTGCCCTTTCAGCTATTACCACTGGGTATTGCGCATGTGTATTTTTCAATGACGTGTGCCGCCTTGATTGGAAAAGGGCCTGTCAGCTGTTGTGTTTACATCGCACGTGCAGACACCCATGAGCACAAACTTCCGAAATGCAATTCATCCGCAGCTACGCCGAGCCCATGTACTAACTACGCCCCAAACTCACCGAGAATTGCGTCGTATCACGGTCCGTGAAGTCCTGCAGATTTACCAGTGTGAAGTGTAAAGTCCCGAGGTGACCGGCATTGTTGGTTTTCTAGGCCGTACCTCCTGATCATTAGTGTACTCTACGTTTAAAAGGTCTCATCATCCGGGCTGGACCACCATCAGCACCTCGGATTATTTGTGCATTCTAGTGAGTCCATTCATCCAAGCTGGGTGGGTCACCATGGTGATGGCACCTCTATAGGATTATTCGTGTACTTTAGAGAGTACCTTCATGGTCGGGCTGGACCGCTGCTGGAACCCCGAGCCGAGTCATGCCGCGCCGCGTGGGATGGCCGCGCCCTTCCTCACGGCCCCGCCTGAGGAAAGAATGCACAGATAGGCAGAGCAGAGATGCCGGATATGATATGCCTCCGTTGGTGCTGCCATAGCCGGTGGATACTGTGTGTAGATTTTGACTTTGAATTGCTACAAGTTAGTATATGCAGTACACATTCCGTAATTTCTTAGTCTGATAAAAGAGGGGATCTTTCTAAAGTTGATGTTTGCGCACCTTGATATCTGAGCACGAGCCATGGAATCTTTAGCAAGAACATGCTTAAATATACAGTTATGTGAGGCTTTGAATATCACACCGAGCATACTACAGTATAGCGTCGCTCCTTCTATGTAGAAGCAGAAATGCTGGTTGCATATCTTATGTCAACAAAGCTGTGCTATCATTTGCAAATGATATGTGTCATGTCAGTCCAGTGCAGTAGGTAGGTACTGACAAATGTCTGGTATCGCTTCTTTAACCAGTGGTACTGATACAGATCTCTGACGTTACTCCCTTCACCAGTGGTGCTGATACAGATCTCTGACGTTACTCCCTCCACCAGTGGTGCTGATACAGATCTCTGACGTTTCTTTCACCAGTGGTGCTGTTGGTGGTCGGGATAGCGGGCAGCTGCCACGTGGGCACCTATCTCCTGGAGCGCCGGGAGACGGAGATGGGCGACGAACATACCTACCTCGACGAGAAGCAGCACGGCGGAGCGTATCCCGTGGAGGAAGAGAAGGGTGGCACGTGATGAGCGCAGGTGGCGTGACGTTCCAACTGTTACAAGTCTTAGTTGATTGTGATCAGTGTCACGGAGTCTAGCGGAGTTTCGGTAGGATTTGTATGATTGAGGTAAAGTGACGCTACGCATAATAAGAAACTGACTCATTTATTGATTGCGTAATATGCGTATTGTGTGTTTAGTGCTGTTAACTAATTTTGGTTTTGATCCACAAATGAATTGTGCGTTATCCTATTCATCGTTCAGAATTGCAAATGAATGCGTGTATGTGCTACACTACAGAAAACACGGGTCGAGTGTCATAATAAGATATTGCTATCAGTTCAATAAAAATTATGTATCACAATCACGGACCTCTGTAATCTCTATATAGTGGTCTACGTCACAACGCATTCAGAGACTGCAATTGTTCACAGAAAGGCCTCACCGTCGCCTGGAAACTGCAACGCAGCATAGAACAGTATCCGGAGACGGAGGCTGCTACCCACCAACTATCCCATACAGCAGCATCCGATTCTACCCGATACAGCAGACTGCCTATAAACTCACACAGCAGCATCCCTCTACGAAACACCGTGGAGACTGCATCAGTGAATGCAGCGTAACACCAGACATTGCCTACAACCGGAAAATGCCATAGTTGTGAGCCGTGATGAGCTCTCCACCCAGTGTCCTTCAGTGAATGAGCTTTGTGTGCATTTAACCCTCGCCCGTAAACGGCGATCTGCCACCTTCGCCCATGCAGGGGGGGATGTTGGTGCGACCCCCCCCCCTTGGCGTTTGAAAACGGAGCGTCGTAGAGCTTAGCAGAAAAGACCAACAGATTGCTCTCGCCGAGATCTCGCGATTGGTGGTATATTTTTTGGTCCTAGGTCAACATTTGACCTACTTTTGACCGGTCAAAGGTCAAATTTTCGGAAAAATAGACTTTTTTCAACTTTCCTCGGCGATTGCGGCAAAGGGAGATATCGACTTGAAACCTTCACTATCGTGTTCCTTGATCAATTTTCTATCGTTTGGTATGTATTTCGTTTCCCTAGCTCTAAAAATGGCGCGTTGGGAGCGCCGGAAGTCGGCAAGGTCACAGTCGGCGGCAGAAATTCGAAAAATCAAAATTTAAATTTTTGAAATCTGATTGTATTTTTGGATTTGGGAGGTCCATTTGCTCCCTATAGAAGCTAATATTGCTGCATATTCCCATTGAGGTGACAAGAATTAGCAAAATAGTGGTTCGGGCGCTTTCAAAAATAGTACCGGACGCTGTTCCTCTTGTGACGTCATAGCTCCGTGACCTGACCTGACCCGGTCAAGTTTCTTATACCATATGATAGCCAATACTTGCCCCAACATGCATGGGACGTTTCATCACGATCCATCAACCGATGTCCGTACCACCGGCAGGAACCCTCGGGCGTTAGCATTCAGTTTGTGAAAATCCGGCCGGAGGCTGTTCCCTTTGTGACGTCATAACTCCGTGACCTGACATGACCCGGTCAATTTTTTTTTTATCAAAAGATGCGCAAGGTTTGCCCCATAAGGTACCCAAAATTTGGCGGCGCTGCGCGCCGCCGTTTTTGCACTTTTTCCGAAAAGCCTCAGGGGGGGGGGGGTTGCACCAACCCCCCCCCCCCCCACTACATGGGCGAGGGTTAAGCTTTTAACCCGCGCCCTGCTGGGGAAGGGGGGGTGTATGAACACCCCCCTTGTGGTTTTTCGCGAATATCTCAAAAACGGCGGCGCGGAGCGCCGTCGTTTTTGGTACACCTTATCATACATCAATTCGACACATGTTGTGAAAATTTCAGACCAAGGTCATTCAAGGTCAGGTCACCAGCTCACTTGAAGTGACCTCACCTCATAAAAAGTTTCAATGTCTGCCATAGCTACACCGAGTGACCGATCGCTTTGAAACTTTAAGCGATTGCTAAGAGCAATAGCATGTACAAAATGTATATCTCAGAATTTTGATATCGATGACCTAAGGTCAGGTCAATTTTGCGACCTCCCCATTATAAGTCAATGGGAGAAAATTGAAATGCGCCTCTTTTGGACAAATGACATTATAAACACTCCCAAACACTGAATTACAAGTGGTTAAGACTTACTGAACATGAAAATGGTGTCTGTGACCCCTGTTTATGCCCTGAGGTCATCTTAGGTCACAGATGGTATCTAACAGTTTTTCGCAAATAACTTTTGATAGAGGCATGCTAGAGCGATGAAAACGCCTTAGATGTGTTCAGATTGACGATACGGATCGACTGATATGCAGCATGACCCTTTCCGATCAGGTCATGACCTTGACCAGAGGTCAAATTTTCAAGTTGACCTTTCAAGGTCAGGTTATAGTTCATTCGATGCGTCTTGACGAGAGGAACACGATGCCGGTGAAAGTAAGCTCGTACAAGGCTTGGGTCAAAAGTTATTGCAGAAAAAAAAAAACGTTTTCGAAAAAAATCGGCTATTTTTGCAGTTTTTGCCCCCTGCAGGCAAAACCGTTGACGTTAAGTCAAATCTGAGAGAATTACCCAGAAAGGGCGTTAATAGGGCTATCGAACGCGTTTTTCCGCGGCGCTGTAGCTCTATTGGTTCCCGAGTTATGCGTTGGCTTCTTGGAAATTGTCGACATTCCACCTGGAAATCGGCGAAATTTTGCCTTCAATGACCTCTGGTGACCTGACCTTTGACCTGACCAAAAATTGACTGAAGTGATTTCGTCATGGCGCTCTTTCGAACGCCGCCTTCCGCGTATCACTACGTGGCCCAGGAGCCGAGTTAGAAGGGGGGATGTTCAGACACCCCCCCCCCCCCCCCAGCAGGGCGTGGAAATCCAGGACCCCCAGCCGGGCGCGGGTTAATGCTCTTGGCATCAGTTGATAAGAGATCGAGCTGATGATCCATAACAAGCTTGTATGTACTTAGAAAGATAGCATTGCTTTTGTAAAACGAGACTGTGGAGAAACCTTTGCCAAACGACGGGATGTAAGCGAATGATGTAAAAAAAATGAACCTAGCTTGTCTTCAGATTAGTATTCGTACTTACCAGGCAACTTTCTGAGCTTCTTTACGGCGACAAGCAAAATCATTTGCATATCATCACGGGAAAGCCAAAATGTATAACAACATGAGTCATTTGCTGGAAACCACAGCGGTGCACCCAAACAATATGCAATCTTTGAGATGATGGTTGCTGATGTGAATGCATTTCATTGTTTTACAGGTATTATGTATTCAGTGGAAAGACAGTAAGAACATCGCAGGGTTTCTGCAGTTGTAGCTAGTGTAGCATTTTAGTTTGCGATGTCTGTTTGTGGCTCATAATGCATGCTTTAATTTGATATTCCCTGACTGAATACACAAGCTTGAATTTTTATATAAAGCCGATAAAAACCTTTGCATAAGAACTCACATCTCTTGAGCTCAAAGAAAGAACGCTGTAGGTATTATTTGCAATGATCGTGGGGAATGATATTGCACATGCCCGCCTGTTTGATCTTCTTGCAAAGCCAGTGCCAAAACGAGGAAGAATGAGTACAGCGTATATTTACCTACAATAAACATTTATCACTATGACTGGCGGAAATTATCACTGCATTTCATACAAAATTTTGAGCATTGACATCATAACTCATGGTCGATGCAACGACATTGAAAGTGAAATGCCTAGAAGTCCCTCACACAACACAAAGTAGCCTCTTCCACATAGCATAGCATGTAGCATAAAACATAACAAAACGTCAGACCGCGACACTGAATCCAAAAGAAGCGAGACAGCCGTGAGATCGGCGTAACCTGAGAACACTCCTATACCCTCCGCCTATCCACATGTCGAGCTCCTCGCTCTATCCAGAGCGAAGCTCTCCAGTCTCGATTCTCTCGCCCCCGATGAGATCACACCACCTGCACTGACACCTCCTTGCCGGTGCGGCCGGCGCCCGCTGCCGCTACTTTAGCCTTGGCCTTGGCCGCGCCGCTGTTGAGCTGCTTGGTGGCCAGCGCATTCAGCTCCAGCGAGTGGTACAGCACGATCATGAAGCAGTAGGCGAGCAGGGCGGTCCACGTGCCACCGATGGCCAGCACGGAGCAGTGCGCGCCCGTGGTGCCCTTCATGCCGGCCAGAGAGGCGGCCACCACGATGGCCATGGTCTGCAGAATTACCAGGATGGCACAGAATATGAGCCACGTGAGCAGCAGAGAGCGGCGAGCGCGGCGCACACCGTGCACCAGCAGTGAGGAGAACACCAGGTGGAGCACACTGAGCACCAGCAGAGCACCGACCGCTTCCAGGGTCAGCGGCGCCTCCTGCGGCGTCTCCAGCAGCAGGTACAGCAGCGCGCAGAGGAAGCCGACCGCGCCGGCCGCGGAGGCGGTCACCAGCGCCACGCCGATGATGATCGATCCTGTTCGCAGGCTGACACGGCCGAAGCAGCATGAGCTCTGATGGGCCATCGTAGAGCTGATGACGGCTTCTGGTCTCTCAAACAAGTCACAGCACAGACGGTCGATGCAGCCTCAGCGCCCGGCAACTGATTACTGAAGCTCGGCCATTCCTGTTTTTTTTTTCTCGTTTTTAGCCGGTTGCAAAAATATGCCAAGAGCACTCCGATTGACTGCGAGTTCGTTCAGTCAGGCTACTCCAGCTGCTAGCTCTTCCACTCCTGTGAGTCCTCAGTAGCTGAGTCTGTCGACTCCCAACTGGTCTGCCTGCGCGCGCCTCTCTGGTTCGACTGCGGCTGGCCGCGTCATCGGCCGCCTATATAGCGGTCAGCGCCGAGCCGGTCGGGTTCGGGAGGCGGCGGCGGCGGCGGCGGGATGTCCCGGTGGCGGCGGCAAGTCCCGGCGAGCACCTGCGCCGGCCCGCCCCGCTCTGCTGCGCAGTGCGCTCACTACCCGCCCCGCCCCGCTCTGCTCCCCGCACTACCTGCACCGCCCCGCCGCTGCACACGATGCTAATGCGCTCTGAACAGCGTCCGGTCATCACGCAGCATGTCCGCGTCCGGTCAGACAGTTGCGCCGGTTGTGAGGTCGGTGACCCTCCCTAGGGCGACTCTGCTGATGATCCGACACGGGACAACGGGAGAGCGAGCCACGTGGCCAGGCAGGGTTCGCCCATGGCTCATCTTCACGCGCTGACGGAGTTCTTGGAGTGTGAATAACACGTGATTCAGAGGCTCTGAATTACGTGCTCGGGCGTAATAGCTATGCACTTCCGATCAAGATAGCATCGTGCTCCCTAGAGTTTGAGCTGTGAATCGTATAAGGAAATTTCATATGTCTATTTTCATAGAAACGTGAGATACCTTTGAGCTCTATCGGAAGTCAAACTGCTCAGATTCCAGGTCATGGACA